ATGCTGCCGTCTCCCTCACCGCTCTGCAGCTTCTCCCGCTCAATGGACCACACCAGCTCCTGGACGAACTTCATCTCCGAGGCCACCTGCTTGGCCAACGCTTCATAGTGGTTCTCCAGCTTTCGGTAACGCCTCTTGAGGCCGTTGGTCGCCTGCACCACATTCCTGGTCTCCTCCTGTGCCTGCTTCTTCAGGGCCTCCGTCTTCTGCAGCTCCTGCTGGATCTGGCGAAGGTCCTGGCTGATGCTCTCGTTTTCCTCCTTGTACCACGACTCTTTCTCCTCATAGATGGACAGCAGGGCCTCGATGTCCTCCTGGAAGGACTTCTTGTTCCTCTCCAGTTCTCGGAGGCTCTCCTCGGCTGCAGCCACCTCCTCCATGACCTTGGAGAAGCGCTCAAAGTTGATGTACGTGTTGTTTGGCGGCATGCTGGAGTGGGACTTGATGGTGTACTCCTTCAGGCGCGTGGTCTTCAACCGGCGGCGCTCGGGTTTCTTGCAGTTGTCTTCATTGCGGACATTCCTCCTCTTGATCACCTGCGGAGAGGGACAGCCGCAGGCGTGGGGCACAGCCGGGGCAGCGGGAGCCGGACAGCACCCACCCACGGTCCCCCAGCAGCACCAAACCAGCCCCAACGGGGGGCTGGAAGAGCAGTGGAGAGCTGCCGGTGTGTCAACACCCACCCCCGACCTCTTGGATGTTTGATACCCATAAAGTGCCAATTCTTTAACTTCTCACCTTAATCCAAGGGTGTTCCAGGCTTTGAGCGATGGTCATCCGCTTCCTGCAACGACAGCAAGGCTGCGACTGAGGGACAGAGGCTTTGCTGCCCCTTTCCCTGTTAAAGTCCTGGAGAAGCAGCTCGGATCCCATCGCCTTTGGAGCACGGACAAGCCCAAACCCGCTGTACTCAGGGGCCACCCCAGACAGGGGTCGCATCCAGCTCCCATGCCCTCAGCCAGCCTCCCACGAGGAAATACCCACGGAAGAGCCTGCAGGAACCTCCCGACTGATGTCTGATCACGCAGCACCACTCCTCCCACCTCAGCCCAGGGTCCTGGGTGCTCAGGTCAGCCCTTGATCCCTTCCAAACTCTGTTCTCTACTTTTCAGCCGAGCTGCTACACCCTCAGGGTGATCCTAGAATTCACCCCATGCCTGACACGGCAGGAGAGACTTTGGTTTTAAGATGTTTTGCAACACCAAATCCTACAAGCAGCAGGGATAAATGGGATTTATAAACCACCAGCACAACAGGGATGGGCAAAGGCCTCTGGGCTGGCAGCAGGCAGGCTCAGAGCTAAACCTCATGTGGGCAGGAGACATGGGAGCTGCCTGTACGCAGAGGGTCAGGGCAGAAGGGACTGTCCCCTCTCCCAGGGTAATCCCTAGCTCTGCTCCCCAGCTCTCACTTGGGGTCCTTGACAAGCAGGCGGCGGATGAAGTCCTTGGCCAGCTCACTGGTGTTGCTGAAATACTCCTCGTCGAAGTCGTAGTTGACGGCAGATATGTTGGTCAGGGTCTCTTGCTTCGTTTCCCCCAGGAAGGGGGAGGCTCCGCTCAGCCTGCGGCAAGAGCAGGTTGTGACACCCCAAAAAGGCGACAGCCCAAGGCGGGGGGACTCACCCTGCAGCGCCCGTCTCCCCCAGACACCCCTTATACTCACAGGATGTAAGTGATGACCCCAATGCTCCTGGAAGAGAGAGGAAGATGAGGCTGAAGCCCCGCAGAGTGCCGTTGGTCCCCTCTCCCTGCGCTTTCAGCAAAAAGGGAGATACGCCGGCACAAGCGGCTGGTGCCACCGGGGCTGGTGCTGGAAGGTGCTCGGGAGGGGACTCACTCACCACATGTCGGCCTCCAGCCCCAGGGGTTCGTAGTTCACAATTTCCGGAGCTTTAGAAGGAAAGAGAGAAGAAAACAGGCTTATTCTGGGGGAAAGAAGCCCGTCCCCATGGACATATCCCAGCAAGCGCCCAGCTGGCCACACCAGGGCTTTGGACATCTCTCCGAGATTAACCCAAAGCTTCCAGAGCCCAGAGGAGCCCCAAAGAACACCGCCAGCTGGGTCTCACCTACAAACTCCGGGGTCCCAAATATATTCTTGAATTCATTCCCAGCTTCAATCTTGTGGGCGATCCCAAAGTCGATGAGTTTGATGCGAGGGTTTGGCACATTCTTGTCCAGCAGCATGATGTTCTCCGGCTGCAGGGGGAGAGGAGCCGTCGTTTACCCCACACGCGCCTGTGGGAGCCTTGTGCTGCCCTGGCTCCTCCCCTGGAGGAGAGGACACACACCTCAAGTAGGGAGAGATCCCAGAGCCAGCCCCACTGCTCCGCAGGAGCCTGGATGCTCGTCCCCGCTCCCCAGCTGCCGAGCACGAGGCGTTTGCACCTCCCAGACCTCACCTTCAAGTCAAAGTGGGCGATGCGCTTGGAGTGCAGGTAGTGCACCCCGTCCAGGATCTGCTTGAGGAACTGGGTGGCCTCCTCCTCCGTCAGAGACTCCTTCTCAGCCAGGAAATCAAAGAGCTCGCCACCCGAGACCAGCTCCAGGATCAGCACCACGTCCGTCTTGTTCTCGAAGATGTCATGCAGCGTGATGATGTTGGGGTGCTGGATCTCCCGCAGGATGTCCACCTCCCTCTCGATCTCCTCCCGGCTCACGCCCCGACGGCTGGACGACAGTCGACGCTTCTTGATGAATTTGGCCGCGTATTCCAGACCTGTTTTCCTCTCCCGGCATTTTCGTACAATGGCAAACTGGCCGCTGCGGGATGCAGGGAGGAGGTGAGGAGAGGATCTCCTGCATCGCACGTGCCAGCGTGTGCTTGGCAGTGGGGTCAGCACCGGCACAAGGATGGGGGGTGCTGCGTGCAGGGATGCTGCACCGCACAAGAGGATGCACGGTTTCCCCGGGATCTGTCAGGAATCGAGGTCCTCCCAGCACATAGCCAACAATGCCTGCCTGCTTCCAGCACACTCCTGGGATTTACACACCCTGGCACCACCAGAGCAGGCGTGTAAACCCCAGTGCTGCCCGGACAGAAGAAGGGAATTCTTCCCAGGGGTGCGGCAGCTGCTGAAAAAAAACCCTCCCCGGGCTGTTGGGGTGCTGCTGTGATCACCCGGGGTGGGAGATGCCCGTCGGCCCATTTCCAGCCAGGAACCCCCAGGCTGCTCCCAGAAGTGAACCTCAGAGCCCGGCGGTCCCAGGGGACCATAAAGCTCCCAGGGGGAAGGTGGGTGGGGGAAAATGTCTGAAATAAAAGTAACCAACAGTTCA